CATTTCTTTTATTTTTTTAAGGGTGTGCAGGGAGTTTGAATCTGTGGTGTTTCTATGGAGGTCTCGTTTTCTTTTGCTGTGTTTCTATATGTATTCTTGTAGAGTAGCTTTTCTAAAATTATAAATCCTTCTCAATTTAACACAAAATTACTTCATGTCTGCACCTGGCACTTAAAGTTTGGTTTTAAAGAAAGCTGTAAAATTGTATGTTATTGGCACATTGCTAATCACCAACTGTGATTCTACCACTGAAATTCACATAGCATTTATTCACAACACAGTCCAGATTTCTTAATCCTGTGTTTTCTCAAAATGCTGGAGATAATTATTGAAACTAATATACATGTATAAGCGCTTCCATGTTTGGCATTTAAAGACTTGTTTGTAATTTTCCATCTCCATTTTCAGTAGGCAGAGAGGACTTGATTCTTGAGAAAAGATCTCATAGTTAATAACAAGCCTGAATTTCAATTATTTCCAATTAAACACCAAAATGTCAAAAATTTGATAGCTTCAAAATATATATTAAACTATACAACTTGTACAAAATGTGATATTTAAATTGATGCAGAAATCCTGTGTTCTGATTAACAACTCAAAATGGGTGTTGTAGTTTATCAGGGTTACAAATGTACCTTTGTGTGGCCTTATTTATATTGAAACCTTACAGTTGAATGATAGCAGAAAGAGGTATCCTTTGTCTTGAGGGTCATAAAGACATCACCACATACCAAATTGGATCTGCTGTCTATTTTTATAAATCAAGTTTTATCCAAACAGAACCATGTTCATTTCTTCACATGTTTCTTTATGCTACTCCCATGCTATTAAAGCAGAGTAGAATCATGACAGATACCATTTGGAGCATAGCTCCAGAAGAATTTATCACTTTTCAGAAAGACTATGCTGATCTCTGTTGACTTGAGATTTCTGTGCCTCCAGTGCAGGGACATCCACTAGTCATGCCTGGTGAACAGGATTTAATGACATTTTCTGAATACTTGGAAGTACACCCACAAACATTTTCCTTGTGTTTGTAGTTGTTAAGGATATCATTTTCATTGCTTATTACAAGATGGAGTGACCCAAGTTTTCATTCTACTTTGCGTTGTTCTTGCCACGTAACACCCGTTGGATTAATCAGTTAATTATCTATTATATCCCAGCAGAGTTCCATGCTTCCTGTTTCTCTGCATGTCTCTGTAACATGAGAATAGAAACAGTGTTTCTTCAAGGTGACAGAGCTGTCTAAGAAATGAGGAAATGCTGCTTATATTTTTGTGAGTGTGCCTTCTGTCTTTTAATAACAGAGTGTGGACATTGCAAAATCTCAGTGGTAGGACAGGTGGTTCCTTGGGGTCACAGCCACGGTTCTCCCATCCTTGGAGAGCCACCGAGCTGATGGACACCTTGGTAGAGCTCAAACAACTGTGCTGTTATGGAAGGAGCCAGAGGGAAATCTTTCACAGTACTTTGTGACTACCCTTAGCACTCAAGACTTTGATTTATTTGAGATAATTATAAATTTCATAAAAGTTGGGTGATAGCTACCAGAGCCCCTCACCAACTCCTTAACTTTCACATTGTTTATAATCAGAGGCAGTTATTGTCACTATAAACCAGCCTGCAGCTCACGTGTCAGCTGATTTTTCAAAGTTCATTTAGATCTTGCCTCTTTCTGTTATCTTATCTGGCCCTATACCTGAGGAAGATCCTATCACATGGGTCCCCCACCCCACCCCCACCCCCCACCCCGGGTGGTTTCCTATTTACATGATTTTGTCATTCTCTCTTGATTTTCATGGCCACTCTATTCTGAATCAGAGTAATCTGTGTTTTGTGGAATGTCCTTCGATTTAGGTTTATCTGCTACTTTGTGATGAGTTGAGGTGACACATGTTTGGCCTGAACAGCAGCCACATAAATGGTATTCTGTCCTTGGGGCTGGGGTTCTTAACACTGCTGATCTTATGTATGGAGAGTTGTGCCTGCCAGCTTTCACCAGTGCAGATTTAACTTACCCTTCTCCCTTTGGCCAAAGCATATAATAAGGGACACCTTCAAGACAGGCAAATACATTGCTTCTATTTCTATTCTCTTCACCAAATCCAACATCCATTGGTAGGTTTTGTCTGTAACAATTATTTCTGTGGATTTCTTGATGATAACTTTTATTTCTAACATCTTTATTCACCCATTGTTATTTATCTCTTTATTTATTTTTGAGACTGGGTTTTCTATAGCTCATACTAGTCTTCAACTTATTCTGTAGCCAAGGATAAAATGTATCTGTTGTATTGGGATGCATTTTGAGATAGGCAATTATCCTCTTCTCTTCATCCTTTACCTGTTAATAGTGACATCTCTTGGTAGATTTTCTGTGACAACTATTTCTATGAGTGTTCCCAGTGATAACTTATATTTCTATTGTTTATTTATTTGCATTCATTCATTCATTCATTTCCTTGTGAGACAGTCTTACATAGCACAGACCAGTCTCCCACTTGCTGTATAGCCAAGGATGACATTAAATCTGATTTTTCTACCTCTCCCTCCCAATACCTTGGATTATAGGCTTTTGCCACGTGTGATTTATGCAATTCTGGGAATGAAACTCGGGGCATTGAGCCTTTGAGGCAGACCATCTACCAAATGAGCCACACCCCAACCCCAATGTCTTCATCATTTGAATGTTACAGTGGAAGACAGCTGTCAGCTTTTTACCATTATTTAAACCATCCACAGATTCACAGATGTGTTGTTTATTTTGCAGTTATGACCCCCTAGTGGAATTATTTACTTGGCCATAAGTTGTCCCATATTTGGTTGTGGGGATAGAGGGAATCGAGTTTGTATCTGCTTCCCTTGATGTGCCTCCTTTGTCTTCTGAACACTACCACACTCTCAGCATCACGAGGCATTCACACTCGATGTGTGTTTTTCTCTGTTCCCCTTTAATCCACTAGTTTTTTCAAGATGCCTTGTCATATTAGTGAATGACATTAGAAACCTAGCTCTGGGCATGAGGTGTGCTCCCCGATTCTGGGTGCCATTGTTTCTCAGTGCTGGGACAGCTCAGAATAGAGCGAGGGTATTTATATGTCTCCTCATGGTATCAACACTCATCTACACCATCTGTCTACATGCTTGTACACCTGTATCCAGGCACCACAGTATGCTCTTTCTAACATGCTGCCCATTAGACTACAGTAGATCTGGGAATTTTCGTGGTCTTGGGTGAGATCATAGTGTAATGCTTCTCTCATTTGTTGGTATAAAAGAACCTACTATATTGCCAGCCATGTAAAATTATAGCAATAAATTACACATAGTACATTTTTATCATTATTGTATAGTATATTATGTCTTATAGAAAAGCTTAATGTTCAGTATGCCTGGCTATGCCAACAATGGCCTCATATATCTGGTGCATACAGTGTTTTTGATTAATAGCCTCCATCTAGTGATTGGCCTATTCATCCAGGTCAGTCAGTGTAAGTGTTCTCTGGGATTCTATGGTGTTATACTGTCAGTGAAGTGTTGCTCAGGATGACTGATTCACAGGAGCTATGAGTTTGTGCTGAGCCCTAATTCCAGTCTAACACACAGAGCTCATTACAGCGTCTCCTTTTCTGTAACTGCTGTTTCTGACAGTGAGAATATTGGCTTTCACCATCCAAAATATTTTCACTTTTTTGTTCATTCCTGATATGTGCGCTCATGTAGCTGAGCGGTAGTTGGTAAGCTGTGTGCATGTTTGAAGCAAATTGACTCCCTGGAATACGGTGTTTACATGACTGTTCTTTTATATTTAGTTTTACGTTAAATAGTAGTTTTGCTTTTTTTTTTTTTTTTTTTTTGTCCACAGTGAATCTAGATGGTTTCAGTTTCATCCCATTTGGTATGGTCATGTATTTGCTTATAGAGTGGTCAGGATTGTCTGTGCCATTACTATGTCCTCAGTGTCCCTGCCTCATGTTGCTACCCTTTTTGATTTCAGTTAGTAATTTGTGTTTTAGGTAATGAATCACAATTTTGCCTTTGACAGGCAGAGCTATTCAAAAGTGTGTCCTTTCCTCCTATTGCCATCATCTATTCCCATCCTGTCTTCTAACCAAACACATTCCTGGGAATGACTCATTTCACTAGTTCATAAGTTTTATCCAGCAATGAGATCGTATATCTTTTAATATCCATTTCCTCCTGTGTGAAGTGTAGCATATATAGTGTGTAATCAAGTACATACACAGACACACATGCACAACACACACACACACAAGTCTGGGGCTGTTACTTAGGTGGTAGAGCATCTACCTAGCATGTGGGAGGGCCTGAGTTCAGTCTCCAGCCCCACAGAAAACTGGATGTGATGGCTCAGTCCTACAATCCCAGTAATTGGGAAATGGGGTGTGAAGGTAAAATGCTCAGAGCTGAACATCAACCCTGGACATAGTGAGTTGGGCGTCCTGTGATTCTGGTCTTAAGGGAAAGGAAAAGAGGAAATATATCTATTCATGTACGTACTTGGGTTTTCTTTGTACTTAGCAACATACCCTGTGTAAAAATGATTTAAACTCACTCCTACCCTAGCATTCTGGTATGTCACTGTGTCTTACTGTGTTTTTACCCATGGAATTTTAGATACGAAATCCACTTCCTAGAAATGTGTGAATGGTGTATCAGGCCTCAGGGAGACAATTTTTTTTTTTTTTTTTGGTTTTACGAGACAGGGTTTCTCTGTTTTTAGGAGGCTGTCGGTCGAGCCTGGCCTCGAACTCACAGAGATTCGCCTGCCTCTGCCTCCCGAGTGCTGGGATTAAAGGCGTGCGCCACCAACGCCCGGCGGGAGACAATGTTTTACTGAGGTCTTGCTTTCTTCAAAGCTAGCATTCTTGGACACATTGCTGTCAGTATTTCCCTCTAAGTTTGTCTCAGTGTTGTGGAGTATTTGGTAGTTATTTTGATGTCCTTATTCACAAGTGCCCCTTTGTCATTTCCAGCTGGTAGCAGTGTATGACGAACAGGACCCCCACCATGGAGGAGATGGTACCAGCGCCAGCTCCACAGGAACCCAGAGCCCAGAGATATTCGGCAGTGAGCTGGGCACCAACAATGCTTCTGCTTTTCAGCCTTATCAAGCCACAAGTGAAATTGAGGTCACGCCTTCAGTCCTTCGGGCAAGTAAGTGAGAGCTTTCTGCTTTCTGCATATTTCATCTTAATTTTCCGTCTCTGCTTCTACAAATGGAATTCTTTGTGCTTATCAGACACTGGATACATTTGAAGCTGGGCCAGTATCTTTTACCCAAAAAGTCAGTGGTTATGGACCTGTTCATAGATGGGCTTAGTTTTGTCTATAGTGGAGACTTTTGGTTGGTCCCAAAGGGTAAATAATGATTGATTGCCAATAAGTTACCCTGCCCTGTTTTTATGGATAGAAATGAGCAAAGGTTTCTCATAGCCAATTCAATTGTAACTGTGACTCACAGAGCATGTATTTCATGTGACCAGCTAGCAAGGAAGAGACTGCTGCACTGAAGTTAGCAGTGGGGTTTTGTAGGAGAATGAACTAGAACCTCAAGGAAAGTTAGGGAAACAGAGCCTGTGAGGAGTAATGTGCCCCTGGGAATTCCAGTTTCAGGATATTTGTTTGAAGGGTTCCGTAACCAGTTCCCGGAAACTTTGCTCAGGATAGTGCAATATTTGTTCTAGAAATAATACTTGTTAGTAAAATTTCATAGCTGAGCCATTGTTAGCTGTGAAAACGTGATTTATCACATAGGTAAAGCACGGTGACATACGCCTGTAATCCTGCTCTTGGGGTCTGAGGAAGGGACACTATGAGCTAAGTCATAACGGGACTCTGTCTCACCCACATTCCTTCCCAAAAGAAATAAATTAGTTTTTATACTCATTTATCTCTGTTTAAGGTCCTTTATTTTTTGTTAGAATGAATGCCTGGTCTTGTGTGTCTTTACTGACTGACACTCTTTGGTTGGCCAACTTTTTTTTTCTACAATTGATTAATCATATGTAAAACATGGCATAGGTAATTATTTAGAAAGTGTACTTTATTCTTGACTGTATTCTAATTCTTTTTTTGCCTCATTGGTGGTAGGCTATAGCATTTCAACAACTTGCTTCTACGTGTTTGTAAGCTACATGTACTTTTCTTGTTTGTTACTTGCTTTTCATTTTATCTGTAGTCAACTAGGAGTTTAAAACATACAGGTAACCTGAATCTGAGTCTAAAACTCAAGAGTCTAAAATACAAAGAAAGAAAAGATGAAGCATTATTACAATTCTGAGACTTCCACAGGGGAAGGGGGTAAACAAGATAAAATAAATATCAAACAACTCTCTAAAATCCTTAGTTTCCAACCAAGTCTTGTTTCTTGCTTTATTTATTTTTAAGGTCTATGTTTATGTGTTCTTTGGTACTTTTGTACGTTTACAATTCAACCAGTGATATGTCATCCTTAAATTTTCCCATTCTCCACTCCTCCTCACCCCTCAACCTCAGCACCCTCCCTCGGCCATGTTCCCTGTTCCTTCCTCTCCCTTTCTTCCCTCCGACTTTCACCCCCTGTGTCTTCACCCCCTTCCCTCCTTCTCACTCCTCCCTCTTCCTCTCCCTTTCTAGCACAGAGTCCAATTAATGCTGCCTGCTGGAATGTTGACTTGATCTTCTGCAGGTCTTGTGCAAGTAGTCACAGTTGTGGGAGCTCATGGATGCTACGGCCAGGTCACGTCCTGAAGATAGCACTTCACGTCACCCCTGTCCATCTTCTAGCCCTTCAGTTCTTTTCACTTCGTGTTTGCTGCACTACTATAAATCTATGCATCAGGGATGGAAATACAACTCAGTGGGATGTCATGTGCCTAGCACGTATTAGGCCCTGAATTTGTTCACTGGCACGAACAAAACATATATATATATATATATATATATATATATATATATATATATATATAAGGAAAACAAGCAAAGCACACCAAGTTAACATTGAACGAGTCTGACAGGCCAACCGGAAGCTGCTATGAAGCTGTGTCATACATAGAAGTAGAGGTCCTGGAAGGTGGTACACTGTGGTATGTGTTACGAGAGTGATGTGTTACAGAATTATACCTGCATGTAGAACAGTGCTAACCTTCCTTCAACTGTTTTTACCCTCTGGACCACAGGAGACCCAGGTACATTGAAAATGTTTTTAAGGTTGGAAAAGAACAGCCTGTCCCATCTCCCATTTGCTTAGGATATTTTCAAATGACTGCCCCTTTAGCCTCCCTGCTAGCTTAAGATATATATTACTTTTCCCTGCTTTACCGTTTCTCTGTCACAGTTTGTGCATATATAAACAGATATATTTAAACCAATTTAAGCAATTGGAAACATCATTTGGTCACTTCACGGATATATTATCTAAATAGTCCTCAGCTAGATGTGTTGGTGTGCTTTTATCATCCCGGCAATTGGGAGGCGGAAGCAAGAGGATCAAGAGTTCAGGATCAGTCATGTCCATGCAGGAAGTTTGAGACCACCTGGGAGCCACTTGATGTCGTCATGTGAATGTCATACACATGTGGGCACATGAGCCATAGCACACATAGATAGGTGAGAGGACAGGTTCCTGGAGTTTGTTTTCTCTGTCACCTTTATGTGGGTTTTAGAACTGAACTCGTATCACCAGGCTCACACGGTAAGTGCTGCCAAGGCTCAGCTGTCTGGGCCAGCCTGCATTTCCCCTTTTTGATCTCAGGTTTTTCCTTATCTAAGAATATAGAGTTCTATTTAAAGATTTGTTCAAAGATGGAGAAGACAAGGGTCTTTGGCTTAGAGATCCAGCCTTTAACATTTAGTTGATATTAGCATGCTGTTTTTTTAAATCTGATTTAAATATACATTGAAACTACGATACTATCCTATTGTAATTCCTTTTGAGTTGTTAGAGCATGGCATACAAATGTTATTCTCAGAATTTCAAGTAATTGCCTCCTCTCTGAGTAAGCTCCATTCAACATCCATCCAAAGCCCTTCTAGTTTTGTTGTGGATGCAATCTGATTATTACATGTTGACAAGGTCATATATCTATTAATTGGACTGGAGATGGGATACAAAATTGCTGTAATTATTGTAATTTTCTAGCTAATTGCAGGGTTGGTAGTGAATATTTTACTTCTGCATAATGAAAACCAGTATGCCATCAGAAGTTGTTTTATAGGGTATGAGACATTTTGTTTTATATCTTTGGTGATTTTTGCCCAACACGTATCGAACCATCCCAGATGCCACCATGCTCATGGGCGCCGGGTGAGTGGTTCTTAGACTCTTTCCATTCTGTTTGTCGCAACACTGTCATTGCTTGTTTTATAAATCAGCATTCTCCTTTCAGGCCTGTAACAAAGGTTGGGTGATCTGCCCCAATGGGAAGAGGGCTCTGGTGCTTCCTATCTTAACCTGTGACCCGCTGGAAATACTTACTCCCTGGCATTTTAAAGAAGTAGATTCTTTTCTTTTATGGGTTCTGCTTTTGAGTTAAGAATGATGTTTGTTATTGGTGCGCTTGTTTGGTGCTATAATATGGGCTTATATAACATGCTTGCTCCTATACTGATGCTTTACTGATGCTAGGCTGGCTTCCCCTGGTGGAAGCCAAATTGACATTTTAAAAATAATGGTATGTACATAAGGTGATTGGGCTTTTGAGGCATGGGGGACAGGGTGCTCTGTTAACAAAGGGCTTTTAGGAGCTCACGATAGAGATGGTAAGAGAGGGATGATGCCTGTTCCCTGCTGAAATATAAACTGGAGGAGCAGGTGAAAATTGCCAAACCTAATGAGCAATTTGGCAGATAAGACGGGCTGTCAGGCGATGGCAGCTAGCTGCCTGCACCACATTGTTTGTTCCAAAGGATGACGTTTAAATACCACAAGGAAAAATTATCTTTTCCTGGTTATACTTGGCATCACAAAGAAGTGTGCTTCATTTTTCAGATTTCAAATTAACTATCAGCAATCAATATATGATAAGATAGGTTGTAGAGTATTTTTATATTTGCCCAATCACATGCTTCATTTATAAAAAATGAATAAAATACATTTGCTCACTTTAGAATCCAAGACATATCACATAGAGGTAAGACACCACTTCATTGGATGGTAGCCTCTCATCTGTGGTCACCCCACTGAAACTCTCCAAAGTCACATTGCAGCCCTATCAGGGTGTGGTGCTGTGAGTTTCCAGGAAGCATCTAGACATGTACACATGGACCAGCCCTTCCACTAAGGCTATAGACACTGTGCTGTTTGAGAGACACTTGAAGTTCACAGGCTTTTTAAACATGCAGCTCATAGGAAAATTCCCACATCACTTTTCCTATTTGTACCGCTTGGCAACAGGCTCAGTTAGTTAAAATCATGGCACAGCCATGGCTTAGGTCTTTAAATCTAAGAAAGGATGCATTGTTGATAATGTATGGCGACACACATTGTTAACGCCCTCAAACATCTTTATTGGCTCATTGCTGCGTTTCCAATACCTGATTCGAATGTGCCTTTGCATTTCCCAGGAAAGGTTTTGCTTTTATTTATTTCTGTGAGAAGCACCTTTTCTTGTTCTTCAGTTCTGAGGCTCAAACAGTCTTGTACATACTTGGCATGTGCTCTTCCATGGAGCTACTCACCAATCTCAGAGCACTTAAGTTATAAAACACACACACACACACACACACCACAAGCATGCACATACATGAACATCTTACCATTTGTAAAGATATTTTCAGTGTGTGTGATCAATGGCCCAGTAGCCCGAGAAAGATTGTCTTCTTGAGAGTTTGTGTGCCCCATATGCATGTAAACTTTGACCTTGTAGACCATCCCGGTCTCCACCAGGACAGACTGACGTAGTGAAATCCAGGTCATGATTGGAATCTTCATGCTCCTGACATGTATTCCGGAGATCAATCTGTCGTTTTCTTCAGAAGTTGCCTTTGGAATTGGAGGCAGGCCATGTAGAACTGACCCTTGTACAGGAAGTTCTCTCTCGTTCCACATCTGCTGCAGGAGCATGCTCCCAGGTCCACCCTTTCTGCCTCACAGACTCCCCTACTACACAACCACGTTTCCCCTTCGTCTTGTCCTTAATGATTAAGTTTTTCTTGACCTGCTTGGCTTGACTTGA